TCATTTCTCCGATCACAAATGCAGACATGGTTTTATGTTTACGTGGCACGATGCAATGCGTAAAAAGACAGTATAAGTCATTATAATCAGTAATTATGTCCCCACTGGATGCAACAAATGGCTCGTTTGTAATGGGTTTTATTGGTTTTGTCTCGTCGTGCCAGGACACAGCATCACAATATGGTCACACGCTTGAGGTATTCGGCCAATCACAACGCACTGGATAGCTGGCCAATCACAGCACACCTCGCTTTTCAGACCGATGAGCTTTGTAAAAATCGATGCGTTTCAGAAAGGCAGGGCATAGAGGAGAAACAATAATGTACAGTATGTGGAAAATAATGGGTTTTTTTAACCTTAAACTGCATAAACACATTTCAATACACCAAATAATATTCTTTTTAGCAACATCATATGACCCCTTTAGGATGCAACAGCATCTGTAATTAGAGATTTATGACCATGAAACAGAATTTGCTGTTTACCTCCTCATTGGGTGCCATGGCTCCGTTGGGGTGCTGATCTGCGCTATCGCTACCCAGGGTTTTGTAGTAATCCCCAGTGCTGGGCTGCTTGCTGAAGCTACGGGACTTTCGATTAGAGTCCACTCTTCGAAGCCTTTCGTGGCTCTCGCCAGGATTCAGCTGCTGGAGAAATGAGCAGAACATGTTTAGTGATAGACACAGAAAATCATTACAATTAGAAACATCAAATTAACTCAAACCTTTTGCATCAGTTGTTAGCTAGCAGTAGAGCACATGAGTCTGGTAATATAACTAGCAAAAAGATTATCACTGCATTGATATGTGTACAGTTATTATGTTTTAAATAAAGTAGGATGCAGCATAAATGAAATCATGTTTCTGGCCCATCTTTGATCTAACCACAGGCTCTACTCTTCAGTGCAATAATAAACCCAAAAACTCCAACATAGCAGAAGTCACTTTAAATCCTATCAAAACAGAGCATTATCGCTAACACATCTTTTTGTTTTCAGTACTCTATTTGCTTAGAACAGCATAAAATGTATGAAACATTTTTAAAAAATGTATTAAATAGATGAAAATATACTGGAAGATGGGTATAGGGGACAAATAATGTGTATGAACTGTTTTACCAACATCACGATTTTAGGTTTAAATTCTCATATTTGTCAAGGAGTGTATTTTTAGATAACAAATCACCATTTTTCACCATCGATTTGTAGTCTTTTTTCATTGTAGCAAATATATTATGTAGTCTCTCAACTATTATGTGCTTATAAAAACAAAACAAACAAACAAAAACAAAAATTATTATAATATAGGAAATGTTTAACAGTTTCAGATGAATTATAGCATGTCACACTGTGGAAACTCATGTGACCTTCACATATTTGAATATTGTCTTCCCACCCACACACACACACGCCATAAAAAGGTTTATTAACTTTTTATGAGACAGGCGTAAGAAATGTCAGTGTAAAATTTGTCATAAAATTTGTCAGATAAAATGTTGACAATTCTCCTTCACTGCTTGAAAATGGAACAAACCAATGCTATTTTTAACACAATTCTAGAACTGTGAATAAAAAAATCGGAACTTTAATCCCATATTGCTTCACATAAGGCAATGCTGACACATTAAGCCACATAAACGCTTAATAATTCCTATTGTGTTCATGTGGCAAAGCCTCATGTGAGTCCAGCTGATTTGCCTGAAAACAAAAAGACTGTTCATGGCACAAAAGCTGAACTTAACATAGATTTCTAAGCTTCAGAGGCAAATAACACAGCAGGCTACAAGAGAGACCGGATGAGCCCTTAAATGCTGTTTCAGTGTCAATGCACCGAATGGTTTCACTTTCTGCAGCTGTCACTCGCTTGTGTATGATAGCGAATCTTCATCACTGATCTAAAACCAGTTTTATCCACTTGTCTTTAGGAGGACAGAAATTGCATTACAGCAATCTCAGATGCGGTTTCAAGAGTTTCTAGAAATTTCCAACACAAAAAAGGTAATGCTTGGTTTTCCTGTTCTTAAGATTTTCCTAATGCAAAGTCTTTGAATTTGCATAGTAATCAACCTTATGCAATGCAATTCTAAAACAAATAAAGTCTCAGGGTAGTGAAGATAGTGAATGTGATATTGTCATTTAAAAAATTTAAGGTACCGTTCATATAATAATAAATAGCAAAACAATCCATTTCGGTCAAACAAAAGCAATATTGATCTCTATATTGATATCAATCTCTATCTGAAAGCAAATACACCCAATAAAAACAAAAAACATCCATGACAAAGAATTTTAATTCTGTCATCTTTGACTTTTTATTTCTCATGCCGGCCCTGAGGATGGTATTATCCATTCATGTCCTTCCAGCATCCAATCTGCATTGTTGTCTAAAGCACTGTCCTCCCTGCAGAGTACAGTGCAGATGGTTTGATTATCATACCTCGGGGAAATCGCTGCTTGAAAGGTTAGCTGACCTCTATACAATGTGGATGGACCTGAGCCTATTTAAAACCTGCTGAATTTTTCATCACCAGTCACCAATACGTATTCTTCAGGCGTTTGCATTGTACAGGGACTCATCTTAAGATCTAAAGCGTGTTCAGTAACGTTAGCTGAAGCTCAGTTGATTAAAGAAAATGAATGCAGTGCTATTCATGCATTTCAATGTTTATCTGATTTAGCATGCAATGCATTTGAAAGATTTTCCAGGTTATCACAGGTTCTCTAGGCAAGCAACCCGAGGCTACTGATCTTACATAACTACACAAATAATAACGGAAAACACGCCTGAGGAACTATCAAAAAACCCATAGCCGTTACAAAGACAATTATATAATTACAAGTATTCACAAGTCAACCAAACCAGCACAGTTTTAACTCTTGCCGCCATCATTACTTCATCACAAAATAACACTGAATTGCAGTCTTACCCTTTCCGACTGCCCTTATTTCTTTCCACAGTGCTGTCACCCTACACAAAGGTTTAAACCGAGAGCCGGTAGATGCACAGGTGTCACAAGAACTTCATTCTACCTGATGCTCGCTTTGCCTTTCCCCGCCCCTCAGCTTCCCACCCAACAATCGCGTCCCAGAGCGATGACTTCACTGCTCATTTGTTATGCAACCACAGGTCACAGTGCTCGTGGTCTCTTATGCAAACCATTGTGACACAGTGGCTAAGCATGGCCGCTCTGGCTCGGCTTTCTCACCGGTCAAAGGATTGCATTATGCACCAAAGAGAATCTGATTACAAATAAATGTGTTGAAAGGTAGCTGATTTATGGAAATAACAAGCAGCAGTATGTAAGACTGTAGTAGGGCAGTGTGAATTAAAAATAAAACACAATGAGACTGTTGTTAAAGTGTATCGGAGTTATGTCAAATGAAGTACATTAAATATAAACCCAAAAGTGAATCTAGGTGAACTCATATTAACATTCTAGTGCACGCGTAGCGAATCATAGCCTAATATGGGCCTGAGTTAGTAAATGGTGTGCTATTCAAATATATTAGAGCTCTATAAACAAACTAACCTTAGGTGAGTCGAACTAGACTAAACACAACCCCGAACTGTGCCAGTATGCGGTTGCTATGCATACTTAGGTTACCATGGTACCCAAGAAAGAGGATGTTTTTCCTTGAGAGCACATTGTTTCTTCCAGTGTTCTGCTCTCCAAACAATAATACAGTCAATTTTAAGTTGAAATAAACAGTCTATATTATATTTCTCTCTGCATATATGAGTGTTACACCTCTTCATGTAACATGAGCATTCAAATCTGTCAGTACATATGAATGTCATATACCTCTTTGTGTCTATGTCTGTCATACACCTTTTTTAGGTGAAATAACATTTAGGCAAAAGAGTCCATTTCTGATATGTAGCAAGAATTTAGAGCTAAGCAGGTAATGTTAATAACAGCACAGATAATTTGATGGGAAAAATGTTCAAATTGAAATCTTTTGACTGCAGACTTTGGCATCTTGGAAAATTGTGTGACATTGTTGAGATCTCTTATGTAAGCAATAAGGTACGAGAGGCCGACTCTCTTTGCTCTTTATTTAATCCTATTGTTGTATTGGAGAAACAAATTAGATGAAGAAATCTCATTTGTGAATTCTCTCTTTTTAAAAAAATTAATAAATACATTCTAACTGTGATGTGCTTTCACCACCTGAAAAGAAGGCACATATAATCTGTTCTAAATCCCGCCTCATGTTCAGCCCCACCCGACAGCATCACAGCTGCTCTGTAGCCTAAAGTCTTTGACCATAAAAGGAAAAGTAGGCTGCATATGGTTTGAGGCGATAGAGTCTTGTAGTTTTCTTCATTACTTATTGAAGTATTTATTTTCATTAGAAGTTGAATATATTTCAGATCCATGAAGTTCATTATGGGCTGGATTAAGTCAGTCTAGGTCATGAAATATCACTATAATGCACTACTTATACACACTACATATTTTCCAGCTTACAGGACCTTTTGAGTAACAAACACACATATGCATGTATAGATTTGTACTTAATGAATGGACAAATTCAAACTGGCAACATGTAAATACTAAATAAAACAGGTCCCAAAACTGACCCCTGAGGGACACCCTGACACAAAGGCACAGTCTGAGATCTATTAGTACCCAGTAGGGCTGCACGATAAATCAAAATGGAATCAAGATCGCGATTCAACAGAAGCTGCGATTGTCGTGCATATCTTTCAGTGAAGCACGGTTCTGTGATCAGCAGTAAATCTCCATCCAAAGGCCAAAGGGTGCTCTCACGTTGAAACTCCAAATACGCCTCGCAGAAGAAACCCAGAAAATGCCTATCGCTGCAGCTGAATAAACAGAAGATTCAACTGCTTTCACTGATTCAATGTGACTAATAAACACACGACTACGGCAATATACGGTTTATCTGAGTTCTTATTATTATAATTTTCATTAAAATAAAGTATATTTATAATGCAATGCCTTTATCACTGCTTAAATACTATGAAATATGTTGCGTGCCTTATTCTGTGTAAGAAGCCACATCATCTTACAGAAGGATTTATTTCAAACACTCGACTGATGTTATGAAGTGAGTTTGGAGTAAAAATATGTTATTAAATGTGGGATTTTCACATGCTTTTAGATGGAGCAGCATTTACTTCACAGAGCCGTAGTTCACTGAGAAGCTATGCAAACAGCTGTCATTATCGCGAACGATTTCTTCGATTTCTTTTGCGTAACTTGTCAGTGAAATATGACTATGTGTAGTAAATTCTGCTCCATCTGAAAGCATGTGATGATGATTTCCTGCTGATTACGGAACCAGCTTTTTTAACAAAATGCGCATAACAATCGCATTCGATTAATCGTGCAGCCCTAGTACCCAGGTAAAAAAACTGAGAACGTTCTGAAAGATAAGATTTAAACCAGTTCAACACAGTGCATTGTCCATAGGCTGATGCACAGTAAGTGCATTACTGTAAACACCACCTTTTTTACAGGTATTGAAATCTGAGGGACATATTTTCTGCAACTGTGCCATTATGATAATGAAAATTTCCTAAAATAAAATGGGGGATTTTCTAAAGTTATGAAGGCTGCCACATCCTTAAGATATGCTCACTTACGGGGGCACTTTTTTCTGGAGACTCAACATCATTCTGTGGCTCAGTGGAAGAGATACTCTCTGAGAGGAGAGAGAAGGGTCAGGTAGAGGGTCATTCTGGGGGCCAGAGGCCATGGACAGGGTTTCATTACGACAAGGGTAACGTAATAATGGATACCACAATTTTACCTGCACTGCTTAAGTGCCTAACACTGGAGCTGAATTCATCATAAAATAAAGTGAAATGTGTAGTGAAGCAAAGAAAATAAAATGAATGAAAATGATATTCAGACTTTTTAAGTGTCCGGACACTTTTTGGGGCATCTGAATACATATATTAATTGCATACTAAGTGAATTGTATAATCTGCTGTGTTTCTCATCAGTTAGTCCAGTAATCATCCAAACAAGGTTTGATTGATGGGAAGATCTGAATTATTACTTTGAATACTTTGCAAACATTGAAGACAACAAGTACATTATCTGCTCTTCATACTCCAAAAATTGTACTGCAACACAGTTGAATTCCCAGTAATGATCAGAGAATGTGTGTGTTGGGATGTGCTGGCATATCTGACAGTTTAATTAGTTAAATTAATGTCAAGTCCATCATGCAGCACATCATTAGAGCTTTTGGGAGGTCAGTTCGGCTAATGGAAGCCCTCATTAACAGGAAAACAAAAGTAGCATTGTGTTTTTGTCTATGAGTGTGTGAGTCCATACCGTGTGTGTGCACCTGCTCTGGGCTTTTCCGCACTGTGCTGATTAGCGTGCACAGGGCTGTTTTTTTATGCACAGATTGAGGTTTGTTGGCCAGACAACAGAAGATACATTGCTGGTCTGATTATCCAGCTTTCTAATGGCCGCTGTGCACCACTGTGTGCTATTTATGACAAACCGCTGTGATTCATGGACGATTAATTAGTGCATATTGTGCTGCTTTACTGTCAAAGCTAACCGAGGTGTTATTTTACACCTACATATGTATTCCATGCCAATTAAAAAAGCATGAGCTGACGGTAAGTGTTGGTTAATTAGATGTTTCAGTGTTAAATCCACAGGGAATGTTTTGCTATTATAGGCCTAGAATGACTAAAGCTCCATGGAATATTTAATTACACAGGACTCAGATGCAAGCTGGTCTTTGTAATTAAGTGAGTTATATATTCATCATATCATATCGCTTGATTGCACTTATTTGAACTTTTTAAGACGTTCAGTCATTAACATCACAATGGTGGTTGAAAAATCATAAACTATTATGAAATCTTTAGTTTGCTGCTTATTAATAGTTAGTAAGGTTGTTAAGTTTAGGTATGAGGTCAGATTAGGGATGTGAAATATGCTCATGCAGAATAAGGCATTCATATGTGCTTTATAAATACTAATAATAATATGTGCTTTATAAATACTACTAATAATATGTGCTTTATAAATACAACTGATATGTATTCATATGCATGCTAATAAGCAACTAGTTGATAGTGATAATTGGTCCATTAACTAAAGTGTTACCAAAACTAAATAATTCAAGATGGAAGATAAGTCAAGAGTAGATAATGAATATACATAAATTAGAATGAAAATGTGAAAGTATTGATAAATAATTCAATAAAAATAAAAATTGATCCAATATTTCTCTGCATAGTTTGTGCATTGTTCTGCTTATTAGAGCTGTCAAGTCACATTCGTATAGTGCTTTTCATTATACAAATTGTTTCAAAGCAACTTTATCGAAAATGATGCTAATGCTTATAATAACTTATTATCTTCATGTCTTATAGTCTAATTTAGCATATTAGAGCTGGACAATAATATAGTTTACATTTTGCAATGATAATATCAATCAAGCACACCCTACAAGAGCATAGCCTACCGTATGCATGCAGATACTCACGCAGGGCATATATATATATATATATATACACAGTATATGTACATGTATATGTATGTATGTATGTATGTATATATATATATATATATATATATATATGACAAAGCAAGTACTCCACTGCAGTCATTTCAGTGACTTGTGTCTCTTGTGCACTTCACATGAGTAACGCTATTTTGCATGCCATGCAGAGTTGCCTATGAGCATTTTAAATCAGTCTCCATTTCAGTTGGACTGTCTTTGTGCTGTGGTAGAAGTCATTTGCTGTTCTGTTCTGATCGTCAGCCTGACATGCAAGACAATAAGAGTCCTGTACATAGGCATTATAGACTGATTCTTGTTCACTATTGTACAGCATTTCATGTAAGCTTTTAGGCTTTTAATCTATACTGTCCATTAATAGAAATGATTCCTTTATGTTCTGTGAATAAACATTGTGTTTCAGGTCTTTAGTCGTCATGGTTTCATATCTGTTTGATCAACAGACATAGTAGATGATGACTTGTAATAGAGGTGTATGTTTGAGCTCGAGTCAGATCCGAGTCACGCAAAAGAAAATGAACCAACGTAACCACAACTGTCTATTATCTGTATAATTATATATTATAATTATAATATGGAATATCTTATTGGGAGAGTTTACCTGACCAGCAGAAGTTCAAAGACAGAATTCTATAGATGGCTGTGCACCTGTTTCTCTGACGCATAAGGTCTATAGGCTACATTGATCATTTTTAAATCTGTCAATATTGGATGAGGGTTGGCCAATACTGTATATTTTATTGTGTACTCTTGTTTTCTGCCAGTACAAGGCAGAACTATTCCGAATGTAACAATAGCAGAGATGTGTTTTATATAAAAAAAGGGAAGGACACCACAAATAGAAAGCAATCATAACAATCAAAATTGGAAAGTCTTGGATCTTTAGTTATGTGGGTCAAATTAGGATAAATATGTATTTGTTAATCTTTTATAAGCAGGGCTGGGCATTGAGTTCGATACTTTTTAGGCACCGACCAAAATGCCTCGATACCATCGAGTATCGAAAAATGTCTTGTCGTTCGGTACCAAATTTCGATAACTAAGGGGTTAATCTCATCAGCGTCAGTGAGCCAATAAGCCTGCAGCACTAGCCGGTGTGTTCGACTAGAAGAGGTGCGGCGCAGATCGATCAGTGTTTGACATCCACGAGAGCGATTCGACAGCGCACGGAGCAGTCTGCTCTCTTAGCTCTCGTGGTACTGTAATACACCGATCGGTCTGCACTGCACAGTCGGTTCTTTAGATAATGTAATCTTGTTAAAATTGATTTCATAAAATTAGTATCGAAAAAAGTGTCGTTCAGGAACCGGTATCGGTATCGGTATTGATATCGAAAATTTTTGCACGATACCAAGCCCTATTTATAAGTACACTTGAGTAATTATGCCCTCCGAGTTAACAGACATGAAACCAATTTTGATTTCATTTATACATGTAACATCAGTCACAGATTTCAGAGTCGGATTGGGAACTGTTAGAAGTACATTATATACTTTAGCAAGTGGAATAAAACATTGAACTCTTATATTTCATAAGATGAAAGAAAATGCATTTTTAGGGTATTACAACTTTAAGACCGATGTTTAAACAAAAAGAAAAGAAAATATATATCATACCTCTTTTTTGACTATGTCATTGTCCACTCGGCGAAGGTTTCTCTTCACCTTCAAGTATTCGGCGGAGACTTCCTCCTCCTCAGGTGGTTTGGGTGGGGGGTAGGCAGGTGGGAGAGGGGGTATGTGGGAGGAGTCTGATGGAGGTGAAGGAGGGGGTATGTGGGAGGAGTCTGATGGAGGTGGGGGAGGGGGAAATGCTGGGGGGGGCGGCAGGTGTGCAGGATGTTCATTTGCATTCTGGGAGCCGTCTGCTACATCAGGGTTCAGCATGTCCATATAGGCCTGCATGTCTGTAATGGCCGAATCTTCACCTCCTGCAACAAAACACATTTCTTTAATCATTTGTAGATTCAGATAAATCGTAGATTCAGATATTCAGATATAGATTCAGCCTAAATCAATAAATACATAAATAAATAGGGGGGGAGGGGAGTATGTTAATGAGGGGAAAAAAACAGTTTTTGTGAAACGTTGCACACTGGCTATTTAAAATTTTAGGTATTACCATACATTGTGTTACATTATTACCATAATTCTATTTTTAAATTTTCAAAATGTAAGTCTTTTATAATCTTGTCAATAAATTTGCTTGTATTCAATACAGTTATTTTTCTACTTTTTTCATTTGCCTGCTATTTTTTCAGTTCTTGTTTAATAAAAGTGTACATTTCATTCATTCATTCACTCATTCATGCACTCATTCGTTTTTTCATTAATTTATCCACTCACTCACTCGTTCGTTTATTCATTCATTCATTCATTCACTCATTTACTCCCTCACTCCCTCACTCGTTTATTCATTCATTCATTCATCCACTCACTCATTTGTTTATTCATTCGTTCATCCACTCACTCACTCACTCACTCATTTGTTTATTCATTCATTCATTCATCCACTCACTCACTCACTCACTCACTCATTCGTTTATTCATTCATCCACTCACTCACTCACTCACTCACTCGTTTGTTTATTTATTCATTCATTCATTCACTCATTTACTCACTCACTCCCTCACTCGTTTATTCATTCATTCATCCACTCACTCATTTGTTTATTCATTCGTTCATTCACTCACTCACTCATTTGTTTATTCATTCATTCATCCACTCACTCACTCACTCACTCACTCATTCGTTTATTCATTCATTCATTCATTCATCCACTCACTCATTCATTTATTCATTCATTCATCCACTCACTCATTTGTTTATTCATTCGTTCATCCACTCACTCACTCATTCGTTTATTCATTCATTCATCCACTCACTCACTCATTCGTTTATTCATTCATTCATCCACTCACTCACTCATTCGTTTATTCATTCATTCATCCACTCACTCACTCATTCGTTTATTCATTCATTCATCCACTCACTCACTCATTCGTTTATTCATTCATTCATCCACTCACTCACTCATTCGTTTATTCATTCATTCATCCACTCACTCACTCATTCGTTTATTCATTCATTCACCCACTAACTCACTCACTCACTCATTCGTTTATTCATTCATTCATGTTTTGGGAGTGTTTCACACTTGAAAAACCTCACTGCCTCTTATTTTAAAGCCCAGCAAAATGTATTCTATATTTATGAATGGTATTCACAGTGCTGCTCCAATCATGAGGTCATATTCACTATAATAATCAAAAGTCTGAGCACACCTCATTCATTATTATTACCACTGTTCCACATTTTAGAATAATATTCTAAATTAATAATATAAGTCTTCAAAACTATAAACACAAATGGAAGTATGGAAATTATGGAAATTATGTAGTAATGAAAATGTTAAATAAAAGGATTTATGGTCATTGAAAGATTAAGCTCATAACATAATGCAGTCAAGTGGGTCCACATTTTTGACTGGTAGTGAAATTATGTAAATGTACAGAGCTCTGTTGTATAAGGACATTCTAAATGTGTCCACTAGAGGACATTACTGGGACGCCTCACAGCAGGTTGCCTGGACAACTCTATGGCAACATTGTTCTGAATGAGTTCTGCTTCAGCTAACTCAACTTTTCCCACCATTGTTAATATAATGCTTCAAACACACCCCATTGAGCAAACGTATGTGCTGAGAACATGGGCTATTGTCACTTTAGACGGGCGAGTTCAAAACACAGCAATGCAGGAGACGGGAAGAGAACATTTAATATATAAAGTTCATTAGGAGACTTCATATATCAAGGAATTTTAATTCAATAATATCAAAAATACAGTAAAAACATTCAATATCATTACAATTTAAAATAAATTTTTTTTTATTTAATTTATTCCTGTGATGACAAAGTTGAATTTTACTCTAGTCTTCAGTATCACGATTCAGAAATCATTCTAATATGCTGATTTGCTGCTCAAGAAACATGATGAAAACAGTTGTGCTGCTTCATATTCTTGTGTAATCCATGATGAATAGAAATATCAAAAGAAGAGCATTAATTTGCAATATAAATATTTTTTTACATTCTAAATGCTTTTACTGATATTTTTGATCAATTTAATGCATCCTTGCTGAATAAAAGTATTAATTTCTTTAAAAAACAAAACAAAAAAACAACTTATATACATAAATATTAGCAGTACATTAGCAAATACAACACAAATACAATTATAAGGAGAGCTCATGTGTGTGAGTTTCTCTGACCTGTCAGTCCTCGTGAGGGAGGCGTGCCGCTCCTCTTCTCTCCAGTACTGGATTGGCTGGAGTTTGCCGAGTTGTAATTGGACAGCGAGCTGGAGGGTGAGCAGATGTCAAAATGGGCCGCAGCAGGGGCTGAGATGGGCAGGGTGGTGTTGGGAGAGGAGAGGCCTGAGTCCGGCTGCTTATACTCCAGATCTGTCGAAGGGTCCCGTGACAAGACTCGGTGCTCCACACTCTGAGATGAAAGCTAGTGTTATTGTAAGGTGTAGAATAGTGACACTTATTCTGGCAAGTTGAGCTTAAAGGGATATTTCACTCAAAAATGAAAATTCTGTCATCATTTACTCATCCTCAAGTTGTTCCAAACCTGTATGAGTTTCTTTCAGCTGTAGAACACGCAAAAAAAAAGATATTTAGAAGAGTGATGGTTACAGTACAGTTGACGGTAGCCATTGACTTTCTATAGTATGAAACAAAAGATACCACAGAAGTCAGTGGGCACCAGAAACTATTTGGTTACCATAATTCTTCTAAACATCTTATTTTGTGTTCAGCAGAAAAAAAAGAACCTCATACAGGTTTGAGGTTGTGTAAATGATGACAGAATTTTCATTTTTGAGTGAAATATCCCTTTAAAGATGTTTGTAAGTGATTTTGTTGCAAACTGCTTGAGAGTTCTTAAGGCAGGGAATTCCTCTAATTACACAAAAGTTAATTACAGGTAGTAACGAATGAGACTGCAGGTGATGAGGGGACACTGGGGACATGCAATCTCTAGTCTCTACATGCTCACAAACATCTAATGAATCTAATTAAGAGTGGACAGTTATTTTTCTTCATTAAAATTTGACACATTAAGAACTACACAGTACTAAACCAGTTAACCCCGTAAAGCTTGAAATATGAAATCATACATTTTATAACACTATAGCAGACTGCTTACATGAAATGCATAAATATCAATTATCACTCTATAGCCCAACTCCTCTTATGTCTTAGTAAGATGATATTTAAATGCTTAGATTTTTTTTTTTCACGATCAAAACTCTGTCAAAACTTTGTATTTATTGTGGGGAGCTAAACATATATAATGCAATGCAATACAATGATGACTGAGAGATGAACAAACATTCCTCAAAAGTCTGATGATCATATTTGATACTCACAATTTAGCATGATTTTTTTAAACAAATGATGTATGGATAATCAAGTAAACCTGAGTTGCAGTCCAATATGTGTTCATCTTGAAATATTACTAACAATATAGTTACCAGTAATATTATTAAGTAATTTTTGCATTTAGTTAGTAACAATTTCACAGATAAAAAACATGTGAATTATGACCTATAGGACATTTTTTAAATTATAACAAACGGGCTTTTACTTGCTAAAAAGAATAAAGTATCAATCGATTGTGTAGACTGTGTACAACAGGTTTTACAGCAAAGTTTTGGTCATTCTGACAATTTAGAGGCCTTAGAAACTTGCATATCAAATATGATACAGTAGGCTTTATAGGTTAAAGTTCAATTTTTATCTTAAATGTTATCCTGTTTATCTTGATAATCCCCATTACTGGACACATTCCCAAATTGGACCAAAATGAACAAACTAACAAACAAACAAACAGACTGCTGACTGCATTTCTATAATTGCTACTTTGTGTGATGCTGCCAAGAGTCAGTGTAAATCCAAGATTATCAAAATTACAGAGTGCACCTTAACACCTACCACTGCAAATGAAAGAAACCCAAAAGATGAAACTACAAGCATTAATACAAAACTATTAAAGGCTAAACAAAGCAAATTACAAGAAACAAAGAAAATATATTTCCTTAACATATTTTGTAGTACTGAGAATGTACTACAAAATGTGAGCATTTCTGATGAGAATTGAATTTGCTTTTGTTGTAAAACCCTTGTCTGTGACTGTGTTTGTGCTGTGTCTCACCATGTTTTCAACGGTGCGGAGGTACTTGGCACACGGCTGATGCCCGTTGTATTCAGCCAGGTCTGCCGCTGAGAATCCATCCTGGTCCCGTATCCCCATGTCCACTCCGTTCACTACCAGAATCTGACAGCACTGCACAGAGAATCAGACATTTACATTAACACCCAGATAGACTAGATAATCTGGGGCCATTTTATTAAATAGATTTACCGCTGCCTGCTAAGGCAAGCAATACTATTCCTCTTGCTCATTCATAAGGTTAGGGATGTGAACAAACCCTGAGTTTTACAAAGTATTACACAGAATTGTGCACATGAAAGAGTGTGTGTTCCCGAAGGCTGTGGATATTTGTTTGTTGGCATATATGACTGAGAGGATTGAGTAAAGTATGATTGGTGTTTATGAATGCAGTAAAAGGGCACTTTGTTAATGACAGCTCTCATGCGTTTGGCCCTCAGGTGGAGAACTGTTTCTGTGTCCCACTCTTCTGTCAGATGGATAATGTTACAAACGAATAAAGGTGGAAAGTTTCTGCAACTGGCTTTACAGCATTTTCACAAAAATCTCATATTCAATATAATTTTCTGTATTAAGAATGTATTAAATCTAATAATAGTACATTCTAATAAAAGTGTGTTGCCTGATCAGTGAAGGATGAAGGTGAATATAAATGTTATATCATAGAAATTAGAGATGCGCCGATCCGATATTCATATCGGGTATCGGCTCCGATAGTGCCATTTTTCTCGGATCGGGTATGGATCAGAGAGAGCCGATCCAAATCCGAGAATTTTTTTTTCTCTCCGATTGTTCACTTTACTTTTTTCTCACACGCAAAGAGAGAAACGGAGCGAGAGTGTCTTACATACCATGCAGAATTGACACGCTATATGTAAACAATATTCTTTGTTGTTTTTTCCTGTCAAAAAAGAACTGCCGGGTTTTCCTGTAGTGGGCGGAACTAATGTGCAAATGACAATCTCACTGGCTGGTGCTCGTCTATTATCATTCCTGTTTTGATTTCAGCGAATCAGTTCGAGGAAACGCACACAACCTGATTAATATTCATGAATCCAGTAGCTCATTAATCCTTAGTGCGTTTTTATATTGTTCTTATTAGTAGAATTCGTATAATAATAATAATAATAATAATATCTTATCAGTATTATTGTTCATTTTTTTACAGGAACACTGAATGACCAAAAAAAGCACCAGCCCTAAGTTCATGGTTACCAAGTTTTAATTCTAATCACTAAACTTCTATTATTAAATAATACTTGATTATCATATTATAATGCTTGACTGCTTGACTGACTGATATTAAGAGTGTACTTTCAGATATTTAAAAAGCTGTACCATTTTACAAACATTATATGTATATAGTATAGTATTTGACTCTGGCGAGTAAACTAAAAAATATACTAGCCAATGGCGATTCAATTGCCAAGGTGTCCGTTGAGGGTTGACTGTATAAAAACAGTTCGTGCTGCACTGTATTTGTTTTGTCCTATCGTATCATATGTTGTTGCCTTATTAAAAAATATGCTATACATTTAAAAGAAATGTATTTTAATTTTATAGTATAAACATATATATAAATACATTCATGAATGTTTTTAATGAATGAATTTTATAATAATACAAATAGCAATGTGTAACATTTTACCATATTTAGTGCAACACTTTTATTTGTTCCACACAAAATATTGTTTTTCACTAAATGTTTGGATTTCTAAAATTATTGAATTTAATAATAATATAAAATGTTTCTAGAATAACTTTTGCTGCCGAATTATCCACTAACCTAGTTTATAATTTTTTGTCATAGATTATAAATATACATAGGCCTATATTTTTTCATATTTGTTTATTTTATTTTTCTTTATAATGAAGTAGTCTGTATCTAGTAGATTGTGAAAGAATCATTATCAGTTCCACACAC